GGGTTAATAAAGGATCTTCTGGAAATGCTTACCTCTTTATCAAATCATCACACTTTCTTCAGCAACTAAGATCAGAGCTGCTGGTTAGGTGTCAGCCATCTTCCTTCTTCCTGGTTCTGATGAAATGATGATCGCATTGTCCCGATGTTCTCCAGAAGACTTTAAATAACATCTTCACTGGAAGTTGAAAACATCTAAAACAGAAATAGAAAACACGTCTTCGTCTTTCATTCTGGAGTCCACCCCAAAGTCCGAAACAACGATGTGTAACAAGGTCCATCACACACAGCTTCACATTTAGATACTCCATCATATCGTTGCTTCTTCCAAGTCGACTTTGATGGATTGTTTTGCTCCTGTCTCATTAGCGGAGTTTAACAGGATTATTGGTACCACGTCAATCTCAATGTTTCGACCTTCTGCCTGCATCCATGTTAAAAGCTGTCCACCCTGTCACTGACCATGGATTCACACCATCATAAGCACATCACTGGCCTCTACTGAGAAAAGCAAAGCCGGACCCTTCAAATTTAAGTGATTTTAGACCTTACCTTTCCATTGTTACCATTTCTTACTACAGTTATTCAGAAGGTCGCTGCCAGACAGATCAGTACCAGTTTAGGTAAACATGATCTAGTTTTAGTCAGGTTTCTGAAAAGGCTTCACAACAGAAAAGTTAAAGTCATCATCACCCTCTGTTGAAATTCATCTCCGCATTTGATCCATCCCCGTGGGGAGTGGTGAGCAGCAGCTGTGGAGACGCTAGGGAACCATCTCCAGACATTTAGAACATTGCATAATGAAGACCCTAGTGACACTGCAGACCTACTGACCCACGATGGGCCGATTATGTCACTAAAGTTGGGCAGTCAGGTGTAACGTCCAGAAAAGGGCAATTTTGACCTACATAGTGCCCTGCATAGTGACCTAGATAGTGCCCTGCATAGTGACCTAGATAGTGACCTACATAGTGACCTGCATCTGCATAGTGACCTACATAGTGACCTGCATAGTGACCTACATAGTGACCTGCATAGTGACCTACATAGTGACCTACATAGTGACCTACATAGTGACTGGTCATCTACAGACATAATTCCACTATCTAGGTAGATTTTGTGTTCTATCTTCTAACACCCAGAACATTCTGCAGGGCTTGTTGACGGTCCATGAAGACAAGATTGTCAAACTTATCTCAGACTGCTGGATTTCACTCTCTGGATGAAAAGTGAACTTTTACAACTCATAAGTTAAATAATCATAAATAATCATATGGGTGAATGAACCAGATGTTATATGAAATGTTTGAATAATGTGGCGTCCTGAATGTCCTGTTTATGACCTAAAGGTCATGATCTGCTGCGTCTGCTCGAGCAGAGACATAAAGTCTCTGACAGGCTAATCTACATGAGATAGTGGCCAAGGTCTTTCATGCACTCTGCTCAACTGAACTGCTTCACCTCTGTTACAGCTCAAGACGAAGATGGAGAACTCTCTTTTGATAAACACATAATCAACAATTTGTTATTACCAATAATAATGTGAGCCCAGTGTTCAATCAATCTGTGAAATGACAATGTTATTACTTGATATTATAATCCTGTGATCAGTAGTATTTTACAAGTTATTATAATCCTGGACATTTGCACTAGACACTGATGACACGTAATGCTAAAGTCACATGACACATTTCCTTTTGTCTGATCCAATCAGAACCTTCGTTCCTGGCTAGGCGGGGTTATCTGTGGTGTTTGTATAAACCCTCTTTTGCATGTCAAGTTATGATTCGCCAGTAAACCAAAATATGACAATTATAAAAACTATTCCACGCCACCTTTTCTTTAGTTCAAGCGTTCTAGAGAAGTCTCGGACCGGCCATCCGGACTTCCTCTTCAGCCAAAAGAACCTCGACAAGCTGGATAAAATCTGTTGCACCTTACACCTGACCGCAACGGTTCCTTCAGAATAAAAGCTGAACCTCATGACCCCTTCAGGCTCTCGGAGACGCCAGTGATAACCTGTCGTGACCTGGAAGCATTCCAAGACTAGTTTGGTCGGCACCGCTGCTTTTCTACCGGCTTCGGTACCAAGGAGGGTCCAAGAGGACCTCGGCATTCTGGATCTAACGGAGGCTTCCCCTGGGGTACGTAGACCGACAGACGGCGTTTCATGTGTGTTGTAAATCTCCGACTAAAGTTTAGAGCGAAACATTCACTCCCACTCAGAACTAACTGCTTCTCCAGATCCGCTGGTTCTGAATAACATTCCACACACACACACACACACACACACACACACACACACACACACACACACACACACACACACACACACACACACACACACACACACACCATCATCATTCATCTCGTCTCACTCCACGTTAGTCCATCAGTACACAGAGCGTTAAAGTTAGTCTTGTTTAAATTGTGTAGAAATAAATTTCTTAACTATTATAAACCTGACTCTCTCTCTTTACTTGGAGTTAATACGAAGTGTCGCTTAATCCCTACAATAAAAAGTTCTGATCTTCTGGTTAAAATAGTCAAAGATCCATCAGACTGATATTTCATATTTCAATGGAATCTCACATTTTATGGTTCATAAGTAAGATGTAAACGACCCATTCTTTACAATAATCTGTGCCTAATTCAGTGAAGTTGAAGTTATAATGACCCATTTATACCATATGATCAGTACTGTTTGATTTAACAAGTGAATCATTATCTACACTCATACACGATGTTCATTAGAAGAGAATTCAGGTTAAGGTCACCTCACATGAAGTTTAAAGATTCTTTATCCACAGAACTAGAACAGCTTGTATCTGGAAGGTGTGGTAACGCCGACAAACGTGTCATATTCTGATTCACAGAAATCAAAACAGGTGGATTAATAAAACTAGAGTGGCTTCCCGAGTTATTCCGTTTCGAGCGGAACTCCAAAGTGTCCAATTTGGAACCGGCCTCCTTGAGACACCTCCCTCTTGGACACACAGTCAGTCCTGTTGGCACACTGCCAGCTGACACAGCCACACGGCTCCTTAGGAGCACATCCGTGTTAGACACAGCGAACCTTCCTGTCTGTTGTGACCTGGAAACATCTCTAGACCGGACTGGTCGTACTGTGGTTATTCTACAAACTTCGTTGCCTTGAGGTCCACCCGACTTCCTGACATTCCGGATCTGCTGGGGGTCTCCATCAGGGTTTGTAGACACAACAGATTGCGTCTGATGCTGTTTCATTAATAATAAACTCTCTAGTTTATAGCAGACCAAAATTCTTTAACACCCAGAATTCACAATTTGTTTCAGATACAAAGGTTCTGATAAACAACTAGCTTACACCACACCACCTGCACATCACACTCCATCACCTCATATCCACTCCATCACATCTCATCATTCATAGCTTGTCATGTATAATCATTAGTTTAGAAAAGAATAAAACTCCTTTTTAACTAAATGCTGACTCTGGATTAATACGAAGTGTCTTTATGATCCCTGAATAAGCAAAGAATCCTAAACTCTTCTGATTAAACATTCAAAGATCAATCAGGTTGATATTTCATATTAATATGGAATCATCACATCTTATTGGTCATAATTAAATATGCAGTCGTTACGCTATAAAGTGTGACGCTACACAGGACCTGTTGGTTGTGCACCAGGGTGAAAATAAGGGGCTAGCGTGCATTTTCAGCTTTGCTCCTGCGCCACGGGATGCCATCCCAGCAACTCTAAAGTGGGTAGACGCAGTGGATCATACATCATTTTACAACTGGTGGCGCAGTTGTTAGCACTGTTGCCTCGCAGCACGAAGGTTGTAGGTTCGAAACTCGGCAGTAGCCTTTCTGCGTGGAGGTGCGTGTTCTCCCCATGCATGCGTGGGTTTCCTCCGGGTACTCCGGTTTCCCCCACAGATCACAACATGCCCTATAGGTTATAAATTGTAAGTCACTTTGGATAAAAGCATCTGACAAATAAATAAACATAAACATACAACTGCTTTTATTTGATTGTTCTTATTCCTACACTGTTTCATTGAGCCTGCTTATATAACTCCTGTCTGTTCTTTACTAATAGTGTTACTTACTTACTACCCATCTTTCACTTTTTATACTTTCTGGAATTAGTAATGCATTTCCATACCCCCCCCCCCACACACACACACACACATCTTCACAGAACAAAAAAAGTCAATGTCAAGTTCACTCAGCTTTATTCAGCCAATCAATAAATACACAATAAATAATCAGTGAAAACAGCATGACTCATCATTAAATAAACGTTAAATATTAAATAAATATCGCAAAACTGAACCGAGTCAGTGACATGAAGGAATCGTGGACTAGTGCAGGTCTTTTCCTGAAACAGAACCTCAGAGCTGGACTCAAATGTTCAGAGATGGAAAGGAAGTTAAACTCGTGAACTGTAAACATCTCTTTGGCACCTCAGAGAAAAACAACAAGAGACTCGAACTTTTTCACTCAAACTCTGGCCCCGCCCACCCGTCCAACAACATCCAGTCACAATAAAGCAACAATGATTTGCATTCGTTGTAAAAGTGAAATAAAGCAACAATGATGAATATCGTCTCTGTGAGTTTCTCCTTTTGAATCATCTGCAGAGTCGAAGTTTCATGTCGAATTAAAAATCAAGTATTTCCAGGTATAGGCTTAAACATTTTTATCTGATAGGGCCTATGGTTAAAATCTGATGTTAGCCCAGATCTGGAAGAGTAGGGGAGTAGAGGGAGGTGGAGTTTACAGTCGGTAAAGACGGCTCTCCCTTGCCCTGCCTCCATCTAAAAGGCTTGGTTATCCAGAGTTATCTCTGCAGTTATGCTGCTACAGGCTTAGACTGCTCGATGCGACCTGCTGGGTTCCTTATATAGGAAACTTGTAACTGATTGGCTTAATGACCTGACCTGTATTGGAATGTTTACTGTGTGAAGGTCCTTGAGACGACTCTGGTCGTGATTTGGCGCTTCATAAATAAACTTGAATTGAATTGAAGTCCAAGTGATATTGAGTCTGTAGAGTAAAAATAACCTTATTAATTTTTGCAAAAGTACCATATTTATCAGGCTCATTAATGTATCAGAATCCATGAAATCCAAGTAGAGATGATGTCTTTCTTTAAAAGCTGACGTCCTTATCCTGCTGGCGTTGCCTTATGGATCCGAGTCTAATCCTTCAGTCGAAGCTTGGTCCTCGCCTGACGCCGCCGCCTTCTCCTCTTCATGATGTTATCAGCCAGCGAGCTCGCCTCCTCAAAAATCCATGGCAGTTCCCACAATGCTTTGCTCTGGACCCTGGTACTGTTTGTCTGGAGAAGATGGTTATTTCAGTTATTAGAGACAACAAGACATGAAGACATGTTGAAGACTATTCCCAGTCTGTTAGGCGGAGACACAAACGTTTGTCAAGTCGTTTATTGAGCTTTGCCACTATTTATTTCAAAACCTCCTGACCTCCATTTAAAAACGTTCTAAGTTAGGATCCTGGTATGTGACTTCCTTCGTGTCCTCTCTAAGGACCGTAATGCTTCCCCATACGCTTTCACCAAGGCCTGAATGAGTCCTACTTCTGGGTAAAACCTCCTTCATGGAGCTAAACATAAACTTCCAGAGACGGAGGTCTACGTACCTGAACATGCCGAAGGCCCTGGAGTCCATGCAGGATCCTCATCTGCTCCTGATAGCGGTGTTTCTTCAGCTCCTGGATCTTCCTCAGGATGTACTCCAGCTTTGGTCTGACTCCGTCTGTGGCCTCTGACCTTGAAGAGCTGGAGGTGGCTGTGACGGAGGAGGAGTGTTTCTGTTTGCTCGTCAGTGGAGGACTTGGAGTGGGCAGCTGCCTCAACATGTGTCCGATCAACTTCTCGTACGCCTCCAAAATACCTCCCATGTACAACATCCTCGACTGAAAAACAGAACAAACGTGAATTTGGTTCAGCTTGAACCCAGAGTGTTGATCTTTTCTTTGTGTTTCACAAGCTCTTGGAAAACGGTTGATAAATAACTTGGTATTGTTCTGAAAAACATGTTCAAGCCCCCAATGTGCAAAGAGCTTTTCACCCAGAGGAAAAACTCTGTGGTTGAATGAAGAGCACTGAGGGCCTAAAAGGGGAAGGCCACCCACTCACCGTTAAACGTCAATATCAAACTTCTGTTTAACTGGCAAACTCGTTCTCGAGCCGGCTTTCAACTGAATTTGGTCAAGATCGTGCATGTCTGAAAGTCATTTTTAAAAGTTAAGCCCGATGAAAACTGTAGGTGAGTTTCACTTTGAGTCAGGGGGTCTTAAAGCCTCGGAAACAGGAAGCATCCTAGCATGCTAATAGATTTTGTTTTCATATAAACCGTTGCTTGTTTCCTCTTAGGGTGTGTAAACTCAAATGAGTCACAATGAACCTTTGGAAGGGAAAGAATTCACAACCGTGTGGTTGAGTAAAGGAAAAGCTAGGTGGAAAAACCCTGAAAGGTCATGAGATAAAACTGCTGAAGGAGGCTGCTGTAGTCCACATCATCAGCATGACTACATGATGTACCTGTCCAAAACCTGCTAATGGACCTGAGCGACATTCAGCAACAGAACCAACAAACGTGTTTTTACGTGTTTGCTTCTCAGGTCATCCTTCAACACCACCTTCTAAGACACGTCTAAATGAAGCTTCAACATCTTTCGACAATGAGATGTTTAGTTTTGGACCAGGTGTAAAGTTATTCAGGTACACAATCTAAACCAGAAACAGATGAAAATCTTTGGAAGAAACTTGGGAAGACAGCCGCTGAGAACCACGTGAAACGTTCAACTTTGAAACCAGCTGCTTGTTCAGCACTCGAAACCGGGTTTGGATCACAGCTGATGGCAAGTGAAAGCATCTTGTGGAATTTGAAAGTCATAGCAGAAAGGCTGCAGAATGCAGGAAAAACCACATAAACCTCACAGTAAACAGCAGGGCGATGTTTGAGCTGCGACAGAAACCGGAGGGAAAGCTAACTACCGTCTGAGTCAGCACAAGCTAGCGTAACAGCCTAGCTAGCACAACTAAACCACTGAATACTTCCACTTTCAGCAGACTCACAGTCTGAACACTGTTCCACCTAAAGTCACCTTTAAACCGTAAATCTTAAAATTTGCTGGTTTTCCTCCATTAATGTAACCCCATGCAGTTAGCCTGCGTTAGCATGATGCTAAAAACACGTAGAGACATGTTGGGTTTAAATGTTAGAGATGATGTCTCTGAAGCTGAATGATTGTTAAAGTTGTTTACTTGACATTAATGACATCGTTTCTGTCGCCTCGCCTCTGTCGGTGCGCCCCAGGGCAGCTGTCGCTACACTGTAGCTCATCACCACCAGCATGTGGATGGATGACTGATTCACTGTAGTGTAAAGCACTTTGGAGTCCTCTGACCCCTGAAAGACACTATACAAGTGCGTGTCATGTATCATTTAGGTGCTTTAGTGCCGTTCCCTCCGGCCACCACCAGCAGGCAAGGAGAGTGAAGTGCCTTGCCCAAGGTGCCTATCTCCAGAGGTCAATCTGCAATCAGGCTGGGTACACCCTGGACAGAGAGCCAGTCCATCGCAGGCCAACACAGAGACACACAGGAAAAACAATCATGCACACACACACACACCTAAGGACAATTCAGACAGACCAATCAACCTAACAGTCATGTTTTTGAGAGGAAGCCGGAGTACCTGGAGAGAACCCACGCATGCACAGGGAGAACATGCAAACTCCATGCAGAAAGATCCCAGGCCGGGAAGCGAACCCAGGACCTTCTTACTGCAAGGCAACAGCTCTGACCACTGCGCCACTGCGCAGCCTTATATTATTACATTATATTATATTATATCAGTATTATATATATATATATATATATATATATATATATATATATATATATATATATGTGTGTGTGTGTGTGTGTGTGTGTGTGTGTGTGTGTGTGTGTGTGTGTGTGTGTGTGTGAAGTCTGCAGTCTAACTATTAAACATAACATTTCAGAGTTTTTCCCTGTTAAAATTTCTTTCAGTTACCTCAATCTTTCCTTTCAGAGGCTCCCTGGAGAAGACGTGTTTCCCATCAAATTGGTCTTGGTTTAAAATGGTCTGTGAAAAAACAACAACAACGTTAATTAATGTTTCCACTCTGGTTTAGCATGAACTGGCCTTAATGATGCTTTCAGGGACAGTTAGCCAAGTAGGTGATGTGTTTAAAGACAATCGAGTTACCATTAGGGGTGCCATCGGCGACCATCTTTAATCTGAGGTTCATAGTTTCTGGCAAGGTCTTCAACAAAATAATCTGACCTAAATAGTAAACATGACCAAAGCATGACTTGTTCCTATCACTTTATGGGAGAACAACCAACACTTTTTGGTGCATTCAGGAATGCTCATGGAAGAAACAACTTTTAAACTCAGATTATGGATTAGCTGTTTGAGGATTTTTATAAAGTAAAATGAAGATGACATCTTTTTATAGTTTGGATGCAAGAAAACAGAATAGTTCTTTTACATGGTGGCAGATGTGTGTGTGCGCATGTGCATGGATATGTGTGTGTGTGTGTGTGTTGAGTGTGTGTGTTTGCGATGAGAGCATCAGGAAACAGAAAGTGAGCACCAGAACAAAGAAAGTTACTCAGAACTCTATAGAACAGGTAGATCTGAGTCCCAGTAATACTCACGTAGTACTTGTTGAGGTTCTGCAGAGTCCTGTTCATGTCCTGAGGGATGTAGGAACCGCTGACCTGAGACGCAGACAGCCAGACGGACAGACAGACCACCAGTCTCATCACAGCAGCCATCGTTTTTCCTCCCCGAGCTCCTGTCGGCCACGTATGCTAGGCGGTTTTCGATCCCTGTTGGAGCGGTTCTGAAGACGCTCTGCCACTTGTGTGTCTCTTGCCCTGAAGTTCGCTCAAACTGTCTGACTCTTCGTGAAAGCATTAATTTATATCAGCGTGAGAGAGAGAAGGTGCGCGACGCAGAGATGCAGCAGTGATCTAAGTGTGAAAACTGTGGTTGTCAGTTTCCTTTAAATCACCAAATTTCATAGAAGTGGGTGAGGGGTCTCCCACTCACGCATGTTAAACAAAAATCATTAACTAACTCGCTGATGACTTCCACTTCACCCAGGTGTTTTATTGGAATTTCTCATTACACAGTTGTTGCAGGACTCTTACAATGGCTGACGGTTAGGCTGCAGCCTGCATCAGAAATCATCAGATGCAGCAGAAACACAATGGAAACCATTACCAACCCAGAACCGTCTGATGAACTTCAGGTTTAGCCGGGAACTCTGATGAGTGTCTGACCGGACGCTAAAGCTAACTCCACCTCACTGGTTTCTTCAGAAGATGCAAAGTTGTAGAAACTGCCTAAAGTCTTTTGAGGCCACAGGAAGCCACAATCTGTAAATATACATATAGATGTACATGTACATCTACATGTAAATATACATGTAGATGTACATGTATATTTACATGTAGATGTACATGTACATGTAAATATACATGTACATGTACATCTACATGTAAATATACATGTACATGTACATCTACATGTAAATATACATGTACATCTATATGTATATTTACATGTACATGTACATCTACATGTAAATATACATATAGATGTACATGTACATGTACATCTATATGTATATTTACATGTAGATGTACATGTACATGTACATCTACATGTAAATATACATATAGATGTACATGTACATGTACATCTATATGTATATTTACATGTAGATGTACATGTACATGTACATCTACATGTAAATATACATGTAGATGTACATGTATATTTACATGTACATCTACATGTAAATATACATGTACATCTATATGTATATTTACATGTCATGGTGATGAACGGTTCTGGTTCTGTCTGGCCATTGGTCTTGGGGTGGTAGCCAGAGGAAAGGCTGGAGGTGGCGCCCACCAGACGACAGAATGCTTTCCAGAGTCGGGCAGTGAACTGAGGCCACCTGTCAGTGACAATGTCCGATGGGAAGCCGTGCAGGCGCGCGATGTGCTCCAGGAACATTTCGGCAGTCTGTTTAGCAGTAGGAAGGCCCTGGAGTGCAACCAGGTGGATGGCTTTGGAGAAACAGTCCACAATGGTGAGTATAGTGTCAAGGCCATCCACCATGGGGAGACCGGTGACGAAATCCAGACTCTCATGCGACCAAGAACGTTTGGGAACGGGCAAGGGCTGCAGGTCGCCAGTGGTGGGCCGATTGGAGGTTTTGGACCTGGCACAGACCTCTCAGGCAGCATCGAACTCCTCCATATCCTTGGCCATAGAGGGCCTCCACAGGGACCGCAGGAGCAGTTGTAGGGTACGAGTGGGTCCAGGGTGCCTGGAGAAGGGAGAAGAGTGAGTCCACACCAGGGCCTCTGATCTGCAGGCAGAAGGAACATACAGGCAATTAGTAGGTGTTTCAGGGGGAGCAGGTTCCCCAAGGACAGCTGCTCTGATCGAGTCCTCCAAGGGCCAACGTAAAGGGACCAAGAACCGTTTGGCAGGGAGTACATGGGCTGGATCAGGGTCCGTGGGAGCCGACATGTGCTGTTGAGCGAGGGCATCAGCCTTAGCATTCTTAGATCCAGGGCGGTAGGCTAGGTGGAAGTTGAAAGGTCTGAAGAACAGAGCCCAACAGGCTTGGCGGGGGTTGAGCTGTTTTGCGGTCTGAAGGTGGATAAGGTTCTGATGGTCCGTCCATATACGAAAAGGCTCGGCGGTCCCCAGAAGCCGGTGACGTCATTTTTCCAGTGCCTACTTTATGGCCAGAAGTTCCCTGTCGCCGACTTCGTACCGTTCTTGGGTTGGAGTGAACTTACGGGAGAAATAGCAGCAAGGGTGGAGCTTGTTATCAGACCCCCGTTGGGACAGGACCACTCCCGCTCCAACCTCGGAGGCATCCACCTCTTAACTTTTCCAGTCAACTCCAGGGTTCATTTCAAGATCCTGGTTCTGGTCTATAGGGCCTTACATGGACAAGCACCATCTTACATTGGTGATCTTCTTAGTCCCTACACCCCCAGCAGGTCCCTGAGGTCCAGTGACCAAAGCCTACTGGTTGTGCAGCACCAGGCTAAAGGTCAAAGGTGACAGATCATCTGCTGCTGTGGCCCCCAGACTCTGGACCTCTCTCCCCCTGAGCCTGAGATCAGTGGACTCAGTGGTCTCCTTTAAAAAGCAGCTGAAGACTCACCTGTTCAAGCTGGCTTTTGTATGACCTTCTTCACCTCTCTCTCTTTATTCTGCTCTCCCCACCTATTCCACCTTCCTCAGGATCCACTGATTTCCCTCTTTCCTGTTCACTCTCTCTCTTTCTTTACATTTTTAATCACAGTTGTCTATTTTTTGCTCATTTTAAATATATTTTTAACCATTATCTAACTTCTTTTTTATATTTTTTCATTTTTTGTTTTTGTGAAGTGCCTCTCTGTTTTTATCTTGAGAGGCGCTAGAGAAATGATATTTTCTTCTTCTTCTTCTTCTTCTTCTTCTTCTTCTCCTGCAAACCTGTAATTGAATTAAAAGTTTCAGAGCATCAGAAAACATTTAAAAACACAACAGCTGAAGTTTCGTTTACCTTTTAGAACCACATAAACATGATAAACATGCTGCTGCAGCTCTTTCTGGCCACAAATTTCACATTAAAGCTAGTTTGAAAAACAACCTCAGTAGTCAGTTTCTGTTGAATGTGAATAAAGGATGGACACATTTATATAATTCAGACTGCCCCATCCTTTATGGAAGTAAGGATGAAAACGGCTTCTTCACATTCACCTGGACATCAGAGCTACATAAGCTATTATTGTGGAACAACTACATGCTGGAGGCAAACTGAAATGGCAAAGGCTACTTCGAGGTGTTGGTGCTGATCTGTACATGTTGTCTAGAAGCCTTCCTGGGGTGGTGTTATGGGCATGTCCGCCCAGCAGGAGGCCCCTGGGTTGACCCAGTACACGTTGGAGCATGCGCATGTCCAATCTGGCCCACAAACTCCTTGGGGTCCTGCCGGAGGAGCTGGTGGAGGTGGACGGGGAGAGGGCTGTCTGGGATGCCCTACTTGAGGTAGGCCATACCGTGAAGTACGATGCGATCCAGCAAAGTGCAATTCCAGAGATCCCAATGCCAATTTTTCTTTATTGAAGCAGGTCACTGCACATGCCACAACTGCTTATTAACATGATAACTTTCCAGAAAACTCATCACACCTTTGCAAAGAGAAAACACAATAACAGTACAGATAACATTGAATTATGTGGACAACAGCCTAAGCATTCATGGAAAATTAACTGTTCCTCATTCAGTTTAAAGGAAACAGAAATACCCGCCTCTGTGCCTGACTCTGTGCAGTAGAAGTGAAAACTCCCTGGAAACAGAGATGAAGCACTGGGCAGCAGACATATAAATGCAGCTGATGTGAGGGTGTGGTAAAATACCTGCTGCATGTTGCATCAAGAGCAAAAAGGAAATCCAACCGCATCAAAGTGTCTGGGCTTCACAGAAAGTGTTTTACTGTAAATGAGCTGATGCATGAAAAATTAAACTACAGGTAAACACAAAAAGTTAACAAAAGTTACGTGCTGCATCACAGTTTTACAGAAAACACTGAGACTGCAGAACTTTTAGCCATTCTTTAATAGTAATCCACATAGATTATGTTTTATTGATAATAAATATGCTGCTGGTAATAAAACATGACCTTGCAGGTGAATGTTGTGTAGTGAATAGAGTTGAAACATCCACCCCAAAATAAAAACCAGTTCAGTTTTGTGCCTGTGATACTACTACCTAATACTTTCACTGCAGAGGCATTGTTTATGTTTGCATTTTGCAACTATTTTTATTCAAAGCAATTTAGTCTTACTTGCAGCTGATTTTGGACCTGTGACCATCTAGCTGTGAGGCAACAGTGCCACTAACTGCACCACCATGCAGCCCAAAGACTGCACCTAGAATTAATTTGGGGCAATGGCCATCAACAAGAGATAAATCTGTTCATGAGGGTAAAAAATATTTATTTTCAAACTTAAAACAATCCTACATTTTTATTTACCTCTTCCCAGGGTTTACAGTCTTTAAAACACCTTAAGACTTAATGTGCTTAATGAAATTATGACCTCATTTTGATACTTGTCCGACCATTCGAAAATCATCTTCATATCAGGCTATTTGTTCCCTATTTTCTGCTGTAACAGCGCATTTGCAGAAACTGTATGGCATACATTTTACAAAAAGCTGTAAATAAATAAAAAATACAAATTAAAAAGGTAAAAAATAAGCTTTTTTCCTCACAACTTGAGAGGACCAGGTGAAATTAAGTGGATGAGGGGGGAGGGGTGTCTGTTACACCAGTTTAAATTTAAGCCCCTCCTAAATATGACAAAACTGTAGCTGTTATATTAAATCACTGGTATACCTAGTATATGTAATGATTTTACGTTCGGTAAAGCAGTTTATGTTTTCAGCAGAGAAAATGATAATTGGTTTGGATTAAAACCCCCCCAAAGTGGACCGTACCAACTCAGAACTGTACAAATGTCGGTCCAGCAGGCGTCGTGTTACATTTAATTAAGACGTCAATTTTTCTGCGGGAAAAGAGTAAAATAGACTCAGAGTAAGTAAACAAACAAACGTTTAAACAATATGACTTTCAGTTGTACTTTTAGAATATCTCAATTCTAGGCCGTGTCGAAAAGGTAAAACTAGCTAACGTTATTGTTAGCATTAGCCAGCTGTTTGCTATGATTTGGGTTTGAAATATTAAGAGACAAAACGAATTCATCAAGTTGGAAAGCTTTAGAGAGGAAGCCGAATAATTTCGATAAATAATAATAAACACTTACCTTAAAATAAATTTGATCCGTTTTCTATCTGATTTACTTGCACATTTTTCTCTTGTCTTGAAACTGAAGTTGGCTCGTGACTGAAGTTGGCTCGTGACTGGGGAGTCCATC